CATGCTGTTTGTATCACCCCTGAGATAACCTGGCTCAGGCAGAGGCTATGGCTGTAGTATCTGCACTGCCCAGGCCACTGCAGCTGCTCTGGAGCTGTAAGGCACTGATGAGTTCACAGCAGTGGACTGAGCATTTCCCCATTCCCCCTCACTGAACAGAGCTGCCCTGCAGGTGAAACAAGCTCTGTGTGATTCCTGACACTGCTCCAGGACTGCAGGTGCTAAGCCCAAGCACCATTTGTAGCATGCTGTCAGAGCCAAATCCCCCCTTCCATAATGGAAGGTTTTGGTATCCCAAAGCGGAGATGTCTCACAATGCTTTCATTTAACACTGCTCCATGATAATCCTGCAACCAGGTCCAAGGGCTGCATTCAATTTCCCTCCCTGCTACTCACTCATTCCATTAGCTTCTCATGCTGCTTTCCACAGTTATAAGTGGGAAATATTTATAAGTACATCACAAACATGGATGAAAGCCAGTTAACCAATGTTTCTAAAGCCCTCAGAGGGGAAAAAAAACAGAGGGGTGTCCAGTGTTTGCTTAAAGCACTGAATTCTTTAATGTTACTTTTCATAAGGCAAAGCCCACCTGTATGTGTTAATAATACACTGCACTGCAGATGCCTGAGGTATTCAAAATTACATGTAAGATGCAGGATGGAGTTTGGGTAGGATTTAAAGATTAATTTTGAATTGATTATCATTTTATCTAAGCTCTATATTGTTCCTTTATTTATACCATAGAATAAAATATCCTTTAAGGTTTTGGTTTAATTTCTGTGATACACAGAACACTTGCACAGTCTGCTGGTTCTATAGTGATCATCCCATTCTATTAATACTTGCAGAATTAGAGATTAAGGGTGTTTTCCATTTGCTGTTCTGCCACAGGAAAGAACTGCTTAGCTTGGCCCAGTGGGCTGTAAATTCAGAAGAGTTGCACTATGCACCACAGGCTACATAGCATGGTATAGACAAGTACACAAACTATTTCCTTGACTTAAATCTAGGCCTGTTTTAATGCTGTTGCAAGAAACATTAAAAGCAATAAATAAATAGCAAAAATGTTATTATGTACAGAATGAATACTAACTTACAAATTACCATACAATCCAGCAACAACTGTATAAAATGTCCTGGCACAACTATCTGTTTTACTGTCATTATCTGAAGATATCACAATTCTGATGCTTTTTAATGATCTCTAGACACTGACATTTGCTAGGCCCAGTATAAAACAAGATTAAGTTCCATGTTTATGTCTCATGTTTAAGTTTCTGTGAACAGAGTTCAGCACCTGAAGCCCTGTTAGGGTTCTGCGTTTGTTCATTCAGCCAGAAGAAATGCTCATCCTGGTGCGGACAGTCAGCACAAGACTTGGACACAAGCTAATTCCACAATGTACAAGTCTCACAATTTTAAAGGTACAACCCAAACACTCCGATTTGAAAAGTTACAGGGAGTCTGTTACAAATTCCACCTTAAACAGGAAGAGGGAATCTGAAAATTATCTTTTCAAGAATCTCTTTTCAGACACTTGGAATGAAAAGGGAACAACTGGACCTGGATATGTGACAACAAATCTGAACATTGCAATTTCTCACTTTCCCACCATAGCAAGAAGCACTTTTCCAAAAAAAAAGCCATCCAAATACCATCTCCCTACTTTTACATATCCTAATAGAAGCTTCTACAAAAGTCTCCTTAGTCTAAATGCTACCAGTCTATTAAGTGCTGCCATGAGAACACACACAACTACACACTAAAATGTACTTCCACAAACCTTCACTGACAGACAGGAACAGACAGTGGAATAGTATTTCTCAAAAAAACATTTCTCTTACTTCCTGCTCCTGGTCTACAAATACAGCTTCAAAAGATGTGCATCCTCCTCTGCCTATGACTACTGCCTATCTTTATTTCCCCCAGATCATCTCATTTGATAGCTCAATAAAATCAGAGAAATTCAGCTGGTGTTTAGCTTTTTGTCTGTAATAGAGTTTATTGCCTGTATTTAACACTTGAAGGAGTTGCATGCCCAGATTTTCTACATTTTCCTATTTATAGAATAAAAAAGTTACCTCTAACTAAATTACCTCCTAATTATGCCTGAAGATCAGCACAGCTGAAACCCTGATAGGAGAATTCCTTACTGCTCAAGCCAAAAGGCCCACAGGTCAGAAAGTTGATGTTGATAGTTTTATTTTCCCATAAACCAAATAGAAATGAACTAATAATAATATAGAACCAATTGCAGTGTCTGCTTGACTTCTTTCCAATAGCAGATTTTTGTTCTTTTTCTTTTTGGTAAATTATTCCAATTTTTGGCATTTTCACTTCTAGAGTATCTCTTCTGATTCCTCCAGATTAATACATCACAGTATGTTTTTCCTCTCACTAATAAGTAGCATGTTTCTTGGCGCTTTATGTGTACAGACATTTAAACAACAAACATTTCTTGCTACTTGTTCTTGTCATGTTTGTTTCTCAGTAACTTGGAGCAACTGAAAAACAAAAAGGCAAAATATCTACTTGGTATTGAGAGTATTAGCACAAACAGCAAGCTGTCTCCTGTGTTAGCACAGTTGCTTTCATAACTGCCCTGTTTTGCTATCAGAAGTTATGAGCAACTTAGCTAATGATTATTAAATTATATTATACGATCTGTGCATGAATTGAAAGCATATGTACTGAGATGAAAAATTTCAGATTTATGTGCAAAAAAGACATTTCACATGTTTTATTGTTCAGCAATGCACATTACACATATAAACATGCAGTCATTAGTTAATCTGTATGTTTAAACACCTGTTTGTATTAACTGTGATGCCATTCTCCTGCCATGATACTGGAACAAGCAGATCTTTGAAATTTTCTGGGGGAAAATGAAGGCCAAATCTGTAGCTACCATTTCTTCTTTGGCAGACCTATTATGAAACTGCAATTAATCTCTTTTCCAACTGTTTAAACACAGAAAGGATTTTCCCTTTATACATGTAACCCATTACATGTAGGAAAAATATATTGTTCTTATAACCTGCACTGTATTGTGAATTTGCTGACCCATGTTTGAAAATATATTAAGCCATATGTAGGGCTTCAGTTTTTCTCCTGCTTACCAACATGACATGAGGTTTATGAGGGCTTATATCAATACTAGTCTTAGAGTGTTAATCAGAATCTAAGTTAGCCTTAAGACTGCTCAGGTCATTCAGTCCTGCCAGCACACACCCAAAAGGTGTTTTATTTAGGATGACAAACTGGAAAACTTCTAATTTTAATAAAAGCATAATGTACCCTGGATAAATTTTATTTAAACAGGTATTCTCCAAAACTGGTACAGTTCATAACTCTTTAATGGTTATTACAGTTTAATGGTACAGTTAATAACCTTACAGCCTTTAAGAAACAGAAGGAGGCTCTTGTTGACTCTGCTCTTCCAGGAAAAAAGGAAGCCATCAATAATCTCTCACATTCCTACCACTGCGCCAAGATGAAATCTAAAAAACATGTAATTTTTTCATTATTTATTGTAAAAGGTCTTTGGTGGAGGAACTGAGAAAAAGCCATACCTGTAGCACAGATATGGGTGATTAATTCAGTGATAAACCTGCACTCATTGCCCTGTGCCAAGACTCTCACTATTTTGAGGAATTTGATAGAAATCAAACATATATGAATTCACATTTAGAAAATGTAAAGGCTGTCCCTTCATCTCACAGTTTGCCAGTTGGTTTCTAATATCCAGATTTTCATTTCTTCAAAGGAAAGAAAAGATTAGCACACTACCAAGTTAAGGGCAAACAGTAAGTCACACAGATAGCAGAATATAACATTCACGTCTTACTATTATTTCATATATAAACCTTTACTTTAAAGTGTTATCTAAAATAACATACATGGTTACCAGACAAAATAGCTCATATAAACTATGCTGAAAATAGCATCTTTATTTACAGGAACCAAAGAAAATCAACTTTAATTGTGTTTGAGGTCTGCAACAACCTCCTGTCTCAGAGCTGGCTGCCAGCCCGGATCATTCTGCTGGGCAACGCTCTAAGGAGGAAGACATCCCTCACACACACGAAGAAAGCACTGGCCATGCAGAGATGTGGTTCACCTGCTGCTGGAAGGGGTGGGAAGCAGCTTGCAAACTATCACTCTTTGCTCAGGTGTGATGTCCTGTTACCCCTCCCACCCTTCAGACTTTACAGTGACATGCAAGCTTTGTTCAAGCAAACTCTAAATCTGCTCTTGGTTCTGTTCTGCCTATACATTGTGAAATTTAGCAAAAAAAAGAAACAAGTATCTTAGACAGGCTTTCTGTTTGAGCTTCTACATATATAGCATTATCATAATCTTCTAGTACTGCTGGTAATCACAACCACAGGTAATAAGCAAAAAGAAAATCAGAAATTAATGATATTATTTTATAGGCACTTCTATAACCATGTAATTCACTCTGTAGTTAATTTGCTGAATTCCAGTATCTGCTTTATAGAAAAACAACTGCCTTGGGTTGTATGAAAATGCTGCCTTTGAGAGCTACAAAATCCCACACTGCTTTACCAAACATGAATTAGATTCCAGAAGAATGATGCCTTGCAAACAGCACCCAGTATGCACTGAGAACCATCCCTCAGAGAGCCCTTGTATTAGCACTATTAGCACTTCTTCTTTCCTGATTTAATGAAAATGCTGTGCTTCAAAAGAAACAGTTAATCAGATAATCACATTATCTCACAGGCTTTGGAACAGCCAAGCTCCCAGAAAAATCATTGAATAAGACAACAGGATTACAGCTTTAATGGCTACATGTTGTATTTGTCACAAAGCATGGCCAGCATTCACACTGAGGTTGCAAATTTATTACATGGTTACCTGTGCTCTATAAAATAGAGATGTCACATTGAACAGATTATGAAACGGTACTGCAGTATGAGGTATTATTAGCATGTTATTTTTATTATTATTATTTACCATTACCTATGACCAAGACTTTAGTACTTCAGTGTAAACACTGTGAAACATACACGTGATTTAACAGACGGAATATTGACAGATTTAAACATTTTGGATCTGTTGTCTATCCACAAGATCTAGAAATAAGGCATATGGTCAGCAGAATAGGAGAGTTTAAATAAACAGCCCGAGCGCTTTGCTTTCCTCCCACACACCTTAACTCTGCCAGTCATGCTGCTGGATTCCTCAAATCTCTTATCTTGAGGAGCTCATACCTGAGGAAGGCTGTTAGCTGGCTGAAACATCATTCTTTTAGTTTTTTCACTTTCCTGTGTACAAAGGAAACAAACAATGAATAGCTAAAGGGCTTTTTACAAACCTTGACAGAGCTTTCTCCTAGGAAGATAACTGTGCAGCCTGAGAGGCTTCATTTGCTCCTGCTCGCACATTTATACACATCTGACACTTTATTCCACTCAAGGGACCGTGACATAAAATTGTAGAACTGATCACACATCCGTGATAGAAGCTTGACAGTTTTCCCAGACAGCCCTGCCAGAACTTCCCATCATTAGCTGTAAACAGAGTTAGCAGGGAGGCCACTTGGCAACCAAATGCTTTTGCTTTTGCAATCTTACAGCGTGGCGCCGTTTCCTTTTGGGCTGCACGCACTCCTGCCCGTACGACGGCCACTGGAAATCCTGGGATGGCACTTGGCTGCTCTGGCTCTCCACGTCTTCAGAATCAGAGTCATCCCGTTGCAATGAAGGGAAATGCCTGTCCGGATAAATCTCTTTCAGTTTGTCCTCAAAGAACTCATCCAGGCATCGTCCAGCCTCAGCAACCTCGGAATCTGGCTGTAAGTGAATGGATAACCATTCAGTGCTACCGCATGCAGAAATCATCCAGCATCAAACCCAGATAGCTGCTCCACCCCAGTATCTCTCCTTGGCTCTGTCTGCCACATCTCCATTAGTCTCTGCACACTTTCCACAGCCCATTAGTCCCTCTGCATTTCCAGTGTAAGTAAAAACCAGCTGCTGCTGCTAAGGAACACATTTGTGCACCTCTAAGAAGTAGAGATGTGCAGCAAACTAGAAAGAACAGCAGTCATCACTGCTTAGGAATTTTAAAACATTTTATTTTCCCTAGTTATTTTTCTGGCTGTGACTGGCTTCTCACAGCAAACACAGCAACATTCCATAGAGTTGTCTGTGAAGATGTCCCTCTTTCATTTTAGATCCATACGTATCTCAAGTTCTCAGATACGTATATAACTTCATATAAACCTCATTCCTGTCATTAAAAAAAATCCTAACATAATTTCCAAAGAATAAAACTGACTAATACTTCATCCCAATCCTATATCTGATTTCCATGGAACCAGTAGTTGCACCAGTGTGACAGACACTGAAAGAGCCAGCCCCTGCTTTGTCTCCCCCCACCCATGCACATTAGAAACATACATAATTGAACTTTGCACAGTTCCAAAACATGAGACGCACGTCAGTCACAAGTTCCTCAGGTGCAGAGTAGTGGGACTTGTCCTTTTTTTGCAGCTTCCTTCGTATGGTGGACAAATCCATTGGCCTTTTGATGATCTGATAATAATGCTGAGCCTGCAGTAAGAATAAAAGGCAGGTATGTGACATTTTTAATTAAAACATTTCCTCTCTAGTGACTTCGATGCAATTTTGGACAGAAATCATTGCAGAGGAGTCATTGCATCAAGGTAGAGAGCTCTAATTTTTTAGTGCCTACGCTTGCACATCATCTTCCTGGGTGCTTTTAGATTTGGTTAAAGCATATTTGTTTGCAAGACTGATCCTAAAAATAGCACACTTCACGGACTACTCTGCTGCTTGAACTTTACAAAGTTTATCCCCAGATAACTATAACCCAAATTTAACCATGATCAATAATTTATACAACATTGATAATTAGCTGACATTTTCCCCAAGCAATTACAAAAAGAAAATGCTGTGATACTTTCAGCTGATAATGTGGGAAGCAGTCAGTCAAGAGTGACTCAAAATAGGATTCTGTGCACTCTTTTAAAAGTTCAACAAAAGTCTTTTTCAATGGGCATCAGCTACCAGGATATCCCCCTCTTTAAATCTTTCTCATTCTACTACTACCTACTTGTTAGGTAATTTGTCCCGTAAGTTCATTGCAAGCTTTATTAGGTGGAATGGGGTTTATACCATTATTTGAACTACTCCTTCACACAAAACCTTTATTTTTCCCCCCTTCAACTCTTAGCACATAGTGCTCTATTGTTACAATAGCGTGAGTCTCCATCTTCCTTAAAGCAGACAGTTAATATTGTAAATGTGGAGTACATGGATGAAGCAGATATCTCTACATCTTCCCCTGCACACAGTCACATTTATCCTCTTTGTGCACAGCACAAGAAAGGAGGGAGTTCAGGGTTGCTTCTAGAGCAGACCTCTCTTATAACAGTACAACATTCTCCATGTACATGGCAAGTCAACTTTTTTAATCACTGGAACCCCTCATACACCTTTGCCATTCTACCAGATTCTTAAATGGGCATCCAAACCACCTGAACACTGGCCAAAATTTCCCTGCCCTGACACCTTCAAGGCTCTTGGAAGAGGCAAGCACCCACCCTTCCCTAGAAAGCAATACTGTTCAGAAAAAACCCTCATTAATATATTTCAAGAATAAAAAGGAGAAACTTGTGAAGTTCTCTGGATTGCCTCTGATCCCTGCATATGCAGCACTCACCAGGGGACTGACAGGTTCATGGAATGGGAGGCTCATACTGCTGCAGAACAGGGAAAGCACCAGCTTTTCACACTTCTGTGGAAGCCAAAATCGAAATGCATTTTAATTCAAAACAAGGGAGTTTCATTCTCACCCTTAGTTAATCAATCATACTAAAAAAAAAGAGAATTTTCATATAGACTGTTCCTTTCTGATGCAAAATGGCACACTTCAGTCAGGGGGACATTCTGCTTCATAGCACTGTTACAGCTTGGAAAACAAGGATAGTCAAGAAATGCAAGAAAAGAAACATTTTCCTGGAAATTCTTGGGAATTGCTATCATTATTTATTTTGTGCACTCCGGATCTATTCCTTGGCTCTCAGCTGAAAGAATGGCAACAACAATGTGTAAAGAGTTAAATGGGCAATGTTTCCCACTTCTCATATCCATTCATGCAAACTGATATAAGTTGGTAATACTGTATGAAAACTATTCCCTTGAATTTGTAAAACACTTCTACTAGTGCTTGGCTCATTCATTAGTGACAAAAAAAATATCACATAAACATTATAAGCCATATTTTCTCACAGACAATGGAATTTTTAATCAACTCAATTTTCTAAATAGGACTTCACTATCTGAGACACAAATCCCAACAACAAATCCCAGTTGTACCAAGTCCAGTAGAAACAGGGCCAGATCAGCATCTGCACTCAGATGTGTGGACTCCTCCTCTCTGTCCAGTTATCACCAATATATACACAACATCTATCTCAAATTTGTGCCTTCAAAATACCAAGTGCCTTAAGAAAAGGCACTTATTTAATAGAAGATTTCATAGAGAAAAACAATAATAGATATATAAAGTGATAAGTTTTTGTCTAGGCTGAGTTAAGAGCCTAAATATCTTCAAGGGGACTAACGGGACATAGGAAGAAGATTGTATGATGACTTCAGTCCAACTGAAAGCCAAAAAGTGTCTTCATCACAAAAATATCATTGCCCAAGTAGATGTCTGAGAAGGTGCCAAGTTTTAAAGGAAAAAGATTCAGTGTCACAAACCAGGCAAAACTGACTCATGGAAGCTCTGCTCTTGAGTCTGAGTTCCCTGGTCAAAGTAGAAAAGAATTCCACATCTGCCTGCTTCATCTTTCTGTAACATTTTTTAATCTAACAGCCATGACTAGAAAGTAGGGAATGATACAACCAAATTATAACAATGCTTTTTATGTATTTACTACCGTGTGTAACATTTGAGCAGAAGCCAAATGAAAACCATCTCATGAAAAAGTAAAGCCTCATGCTGAGATCATATGGCCTGCTCTAAATAGTGCAATATATAATTATTCCCACCTTCTGGTCACAGTCACCAAGGCCATATTGTGCATTGTAGCTGTGGCTGTAGCGTGTGTTTTCACAGTCATATTCCACCTCTGACTTCACTGGGTTACGGCAAAGCGAGCACACCCATTCTCCCCTGCAAAACCAAAGACCAAGAAACCAAAAAACTCGAGGAGGAATTTTTCCACAACCTTGTCAAACAGCAAATCTCAGGAATCACTATATGGAAAGCCTCATCCTTAACTAGCATTATGATAGCAGGCAATCTGAAGCCCATTGTACTAGATATTCCTCCTTGGATTTGAATCCACTTAGAAGTAGAATCATTTTGGATTCTATTCAAAACTCTTTTCCCATCATGAAGGAGATGATAAAATTGTGTTTAAGATCATCTACCAGCAGTGCATACAGCTGCACTGATTCAAGTGTTGCTTTGGAAAAAAAACACTAAGGAAAAACAGGCAGCAATTGGTTCATGAGACAAACCCAGACCCTTTTGATAACTGAGATATTTATTATCAATATGATAATTGACATGTTTATCTAAGAAACCAACATAATCAGAAATGGTGTGATAATACACAGGTCCCCAAACTAAATAGACATAATCCTGCAAGGGCATGCTAGTAGATGCATTTTCAGAAACCTCTTGAAGAATTTCATGAAGGCAGTGATGCAACTTCTACAACATCAGGGTCTGAATAACTACAGATGAAGATATTTTCAGGAATTATTAATATAGAGCTTTAGGTAAGGGAATTAATTCACTTCAATAGAGTTTAACTTTGCCTCAAAAGTTTATTCTAACAGGAAAACTTGGTTTTCATACTGCTTTGAAACTAGAAGTTAATAATAACTCCACTACTAGAGAAAAGAAAGAAAAGCCAAGAACTGAAAAGTCCTGTTTTTTGAACAGAAAAGAGAAACCAGAATCTCCAAATTAATACCTTACTGAGACAATTATTTGAGCTTTGCTCAAATTAAGTGGGCTTTGGTTCCACTTAGTAATGATTTATAACAGAATTCAGAATTGCATACCACAGTAATGCGCATTATTCAGTCTCACTTTAAAGTTTGGTATGTGGACGTGTATCTGTTTTTGGTTCATTGCATACAATCTCTCTGTGATAAGTTGTGAGAGAATGTATCTTAGGGAAAGCAGTAACTCAAATATTTCCACAGAAACCCTGATAATCCTAAAATTTCCCATAGAATTTGCTAACAAACTGAATAAAAACTCACTGATTGCCCTTCCCTTGTGCTAGTCTCTGTTCTGCCAAGAAGAGCTGATATTTACACTCCAGCTGTTACATGAGAGTTAGGATTTTATTTTTCTCCAGTGATTCATATGGAAGTTTTTTAAGTTCAGGTCTGCCACCTCCTTTGCTGTACTGCCCAGGTGACTGCAGAAAGTGCACAGTGGTGGGAAAGAGTTCTTTTTATAATTCATCTAGTTCCTAGTATGTAAGACAAAAACTTATCAAAAAAGGCAAGTGAGAGATGCAGCCCTTGTATAAGGCTGAAACAACAATCCCTGAGGATATTCTCTGCCCCAGGCAGCGAGCAGGAACAGCACAGTAGTGAAATGTCATCCATACTCACACTGGAAAGCTGAGCAGGGCTGGAACATGGCAGGAGAGATGGAAGACCTTGGGGCAATGATCACAGCACAACAGTTCTCCTCCATTAAGACACACAGCACAGAAATCCTCATTTTCAAATGGACTGACTTCCTGAGTAACTGGGGATTTCTTCGTGCTGGAGATGCCATTGCTGAGCTTCTGATCAGCAGATGGAGATTGTGTCTGTCCTGCAGTCTGGGAGTTGAGAAATCTCCTGTCCTCTGAGTTCTCCTCTTTGGACTTCTGTCCCTCAGCTGGACTATATTTATTTATCTTGAAAGAAGAAAAATCTGGGGTCACACAATTATCATTTTCACACATCAGCTTCAGTGGTTATCTGCAGATAACCAAGTACTTCCTGAACTTGGAAGACACAGCTCCCAACAACAATTTCCCAACAAGTGCTTCCAAGTACCTCTCTGCAGTGAGCTTTACTGGGGAGGGCACTGGGGCTCAGCAGGCCCATGCTCTTGGCATTTGTTGGCCATGTCATCTTGGTCAGGTCATTTCCTCCCCATACCACAGTGTAGTAACACTGTGAGAGAGCTGTGCAGATTCTACACCAGGTGATAGGAAATTCTACAATCTCACTTGCGAGTTTTATGGTAAACAGCTCAAACCCCCCCACCATCCCCCAAAAAAACCCAAACATAAAAAAAGTATAGGTGTTTTTCCCACCAGAAATTCCTGTTTCCTTCTGTGGAAAGAAGTTCACACTGAAGCAATAGAATACAAAGCTTTTAAAAATCTATTAAACTGTGATTTCTGGGATCGGTTCCTACCACTCAAATATATATTCAGACCAGTTTTAAGCTATTTATCCTGTATTTGTAACCATACAGGTGAGCCAAGTTGTATGAAAACACTGCAAACTTCTCAGAAATGGAAGATGCAGGGAGCTCCACAGCAAGCTCAAAGCTGTATTGTCTTTACCACGACCCATCACAGAAGTCCCTGAGGGTCAAACAAATCAGCAGACTTTTTTCTGTACAATATTCCAGAAAATGTGCCTACAAACCAGTGGGATAAAGGGGAGAAGGCAGGTAAAACCTCAAGGAAATCCCACTCACCTTTATAGACATACTTGAGGACCGTGTCCCACACTCAATTACCAGGAGGAAATTGCCCTCCTGCTCATTGTCCTGTGGCTGGAGCTTGAACACCGGGAGCTCCCCCACTTCCAAGGCAGATATTTTCAGACGTTCCAGTCGCACATAGGGGATCTTCTGCTCCTTAGGGGCAGCTCTAGAGTCAAAAGGACACATGATTAAATTCATCCACATTCCACAAAATTCTCCTCCCTACTCAGCTTCGTGCACCATTGTTTGTGCTCCTTTTCCTCTGTAACTGTGACGGCCAAACGCTGAAAATCTTGATATTTTTTCACGAACCGATTATTTAAGAAATGTGAATGCAATCACTTTAAATTAATCATATGTGTCAATACATTACTAACTCCTGTGCTAAAGCTCTGCCCTGATCTGTATGTTCTTAATTAACACAATTAAAGTAATATTTTATACTTTTCAGTGTGGCTGGCTTCAACAGGAACACAGCATATCATCAACTTTACCATATTATCACAGTAGCGGAAGAAAATCAAATTTTATAAAATTGTTGAGGTAATGTTAATCCTGTTCCCATTATATCTTTTAGCTTTCATTGGGGCTTAACATTTTCATAATTGTTCAAGTGAGGTAAGTTTGCAAATATTTATTCATTCTGGAAAATTACACAGAAATACATGAATTCACCACTTCTTTTCCATGGTTGTTCTCAAGTTTGAGAGCACTTTACAACTTCAGAACTATTATCTATAAGGAATCTAGAATTCTTTCTAAGTTCTCAATCATCATTAAGTATGACAAGTTTTCTAAATGCATGCATAAGATTTCACAGCCAGCGCTTTTGTATAAAAAAAAGGACTCTGCTACCTGACATTCTGATTGCTTTTCATATCCATTTCAAAATGTTCCTTTTCACAGTTATTGGAATCTGGAACAGAAGATAAGAAAACGAATAAAATATTTATAATATCACAGGCAGATTAGGGTAGAAAGTACTTCAATATTCATGTACTTCTGACTGGTGTTTAATATGATATCGTAAGTGAATTATGGAGTAATTTCATCTATATGTATAGAAAATGTGCATGCTATTTTCTGTTCTGGTGCAGAGCCTTTGTCTTTCTGTTTTACTTTTAACCACAGCTTCTGTTCCCAATATGAGGAGCACATATGAAATATTTCATGGAAATTGTTTCATTCTCAGGGAATTATATATGTACACAGCTATATCACATGCATCCATATACATGGAACAACATGAGTAATCCTCTTTACTATACAGCACTTCACTTCAGAAAAGCAGACTCAATGAGGTCTGAACCCCCAAGGCTGAGGAAATCTTTGTGGTCTCCAGCTCCAGCTTCTGGATAATTCCAGTTACTTGAAAACAAGAAGAAAATTGTGTCTCATGTGCTGCCACAGGACAAAAGTTACACTATAATTCCTTTCTTTCCTCCAGCATCTGGCACTTATAAACACACAAATTCAAAACTATCTGTTATATAAGCATTTAGCTGTAGCTTTATGTAGCTGTATCAGCATATGGCTGTAGTTTTGACTGACATTAAACACATTTCTGGGGAGATGGGATAGGATAGAGAGAAATGTCCCGGTGGATGCCCTCAGAAATACAAGTCCACTGAGAAATTTCATAATCTCACCTACTTTTGTTAGGAATTAGTTTGACGTAGCCAATACAAGCAAGAAACAAACACAATATCGTGATTTTCTTGAGATAAGAGAGGGCCAGGAAAAGGTGATTTTTGAAAAGAAAATCTAGCTCAGGGCAATAGTACCTTAGCCATGGCTTGAAAGCAACATGCCCCTAAAGCACTCCGTTTTTTCCAGCCACACAAATAAAACAAAGACTAACAGGGAAAGATGCATTTCACATCACACCTAAGGCATTATTCACTTGTGATTGTTACTCAGGTGAAGGGTGGGTAGCCCTGTCATGGACAGAATTACTAAAAGGAGACTGCCCACCGAGCTGCAGGAGCAGCTCTCGTTGCACACTGTCAAAGCAGAGGATGTTCCAGTGGTCCTGGGCTCCTACATTAACCAACATTTCCATCAGCAGCTGGGCCCATCAAACAATAGTGCCTATAAAATTTGTGGGAAACACCAAACTGGAGGGGTTCCACCGTGGAGAATGTTTTCAGCTAAAAATAGACCTTAGTGCATCAGAGAAAAAAAATCTCCTAGATCAGTAAGACTGAATTGAGATAACTGTACTCTGCTCATGAAGGGTCAGATGAACATAAACCCAAGGGAAAACAACTGGCTGGGAAAATGTCCTTGGAAGGAAGGGTTAAAGTGAGCTGTTCTCTACACACAACTCAACCCCTAATGCTGCTGCTGCAGAAGAGAGCAGTGCCATCCTGCAGGGTATTACCAGCAGCAAGGAATGTAAAACACAAGGAGCTGATACCCTGATTCTGCATGGCACTCCAGAGGCCTCAGCTGAGCTCTGCATTTGGCTGTGGGCAGCACTCCTTAATTGCAGAGAACCCAAAATAGCACAGAGGAATGAGGTGGTTTTGAAAAAATTAAACCCCTGATCCATGAGGAGAGACTTAACCCATCAGATTTGTTTAGTCTAGGAAAGAGAAGAGGAGGGGAGGGTGTTTATGCAATTCATAAGAAAGAAAAGTGGCTGTAAGAGGGAAAATGATCACACTTTGTACCATTTTTACCACATCCCGTGTGCCTAGGATGAGAATTATTTTGTTTTCAACTAAGCTGAAATGTTTAGATTTGCTATTAGAAAAGGAAGAGTCACTGGAGACATACCCCAGAAGGAATGAGGCTTGGCAGCACAGCAATGCTGAAGCCAGCAAGTCCTACCAAGAGTCACCAGCAGAGTTAACATTGCCTTTGCAGCAGAATTCACATTTTAAGGTGCACTGGTGACTGAATCTCCTCAGGTCTCCCCTCACTGCATGCCCTTAAACACTGACAGGACAGGACTTGCTTGCTTCTGATCCTCCCTTGTGAAAAGGGAGCAGCACCAAATTCAACACTCAAGGCTTTTCCCCTTCTTGCACATCAGGGCCTGCATTTTATACTCAGCAAATTTGTAGCATCCGCTATCATCAGTGAGATTCTGAATGCTGGGGCTGCCTCTGTGTGTGGTGTCACACAACCCACACCAGATACTACATTGCTGCTCCTCCCCAAGACACTTCAGCCTGACTGAGGCACAGCTTTTTAGGGGTGGTCCCGATTCTTACACCTCACACAAATGATTGTGGTGTAATTGCCACGGTTTGGCATAGGACGTAGAAGAGAAGACAAATACATTTCCTTGGCTCACTGGGCTAGGCCTCCTTTGTACTAATTAGAATTCTCTGAATAAAAATACAGTGCAGAGAGAGAAATAGTAATTCATCTTTTATAGAGAAATCCAGCCAAATATTGGCATAAGTCACAGGATAACAACTTGATCCTGCAATCCCTTGCTTGCATGAATAGTCCCATTGACTTTCAGAGTTTGCAGGAATAAGGCTTTGCAGCATGATGTTGGCAATTTGCCCATGAAAAGAGTTAAGTAAAGCCTAATTCTCCATTAGGGCTGAAGAAATAGGCCTTGGCTGAAGTGAATGTTCCACAGTAGACAGAGCCAAGCAAAGGCACATGCTGTGCGATGTGTTAACAAAAATTTGGTATGCTACTGATGTGAAGGACTTAGCGGAAAGCACATTACATTTGAGAAGTAATGTGGGTTTTTTTAATTGAATTTGGACTCTTCAAACCAGCTCTTCAATAGTCACAACTGCAGGTCTCATTAACAGGAGTGCTTCTAAGAGAACTAATACTCCAGGTACTTCACACAGTCACACTCATTTCTGGTTCACAGATGAGGGATGTTACAAATTCAAAGCATATCATTTCCATGTTTTTCCTCCACAAATGAGATCAAACACACTTTTCCACTGGATTAAGTACACTGATAACATTTGAAGCTTGCTGGAACAGCACATTTACACGTAAGTATATTAATAAGCATACTGCTTTACCATGCTTGCAATGCATAGTGCTAAGAAAGAAGACCCAAAACACCTAAAGGAAATAATTAAAAGCTTGGTACCTTCTTTGCCTCTGGATTGTCTCATTCTGGCACTCACAGGCAGGAAAGAAGCATTGCTGAGCAGTTCAGAAGGAGCAGTGCAATGCTGAGACTTTTTGATTGAAAGATTAATAGGTTCTTCCATCACTTTTTGCATAGAAAGAGTTAATTCATTAACTACCTCTTGCCCAGCAGTAGCCAAGCTGTTTTCTAGAAGACAATCCACAGCACTGAGGTCTTCATTCTCAAGCTGTGAGGAGTGGGGGGAGAAAGAAATGCAGAATTCTATTATCAGTTTTCTTTCTTTTCATGTTAAGAAATTAATTTGTAATCAGTATTCAAATAGCAGATAAGGAGAATTTTACTCATTGAAATAGTAATTTATTTTGACTGATTGACCAACAGCAACACGCTGTAAATGGAAGTGGATTCCCTCTCAGCAGAGCTGTTTGAGCCATCCCTACCTTGCATTTAGTGCCTCCCTGGAGTGCATCACCTGGTGTGAGGCCAGCAGGGTCAGGGCTCGGGTCACTGGGAGCCCTGCCCAGTGCCAGGCTGTAGCTGGGCAGGGGCTCTGGTGCAGCATCACAGTCACAGAGGGCATCTGGGGACAGGCCAAGTGTCACAGCAGCTGCACCTTTCACCTCTGGGTCGGCCGAGCTGGATAACCTTGTTGGAGATTGAGATAATTCCATTTCTGTGCTGTTTGGAAAGCCCACAAAGCTTAAGGATGCTGAACGCTGGGAAAAGCAAAAGGGGAAGAAAAAAAAATCCAATACATTAATAAGCTTTTCAGCAGCAAAATGCTACTGTTCTGTCTGTAATAGATGAGACGCTCGGTTTCAGCTTGACATAATCAAACAGTTGTGTCACAAGGGCTGTAAGGATCTATTGTAATCTTACACTATTTCCAAAAGCTTTAGATTCTCCACCATTAAAACTGAAAACTGGAAAAGGAGACAACTGGGTTACTCTTCTGGTGCTTACAAAAAAATACGTGTTCCTTAGATGTATTCAAGGGATTCTGAGTTTTAACTCTTACAGTGACTGGGAAATCTATGTAGAACACTGTACCTAATTAATCCTTGGCATAAACCCTATTATTTTCCATTAAATTTTCCCAGAAGAAATAAGATCCAAATCAGAAATTTTGTCATTTTATTAAAAGATCATCAGATCATTCAGAAAGAAGATTCAGAAGAAATAAGATTTAACTCTGACCCAAGTACATGTATTTATTGTTCCTGTTAATGATGCTAAAAACTTTATCATACTTAGTGAATCAGTCCCATTAAAATCTTAAGCATTTCCCCTTTAAATATCATAGATTACATGCAGAAATATCTTACATGCACTAATGATGAAATATGTCCAGTTTCCAAAGAAAGGGAATATTTACCAAAGTATCAAAATGATTTTTTTACTGTGTCATGATTTGTCACTATCAAACCCACAGAGACACTGTTACACAAACCAAAGCAAATCCACTCATCCAGGTGACCTCCCTAAGCTGCCTTATATCCTGGAATGTGGGACTGTGTTGAAAACAAGACTCTTCTAGCATCCATGGGAAGCAAATAGAAGCAATTTTAAGAAGTGCACAGATCTGTCTCACTTGAATATACAACTTTCCCTTGATTTGATCATAGTTCATTGGTGTTTCACCCTCTATATTTGACTGACTATATCCTTTTCTCTTGACTGCAATACAGTAGGTAGCACTTCTTTTAATATGAATCAAGACAACAGAAATTTGTCCATTGCATCTGAATTAGAGTTTTAATTTATTGTTGTACTTATTTCTCCACTAGAGGCCTGTGACTCAGAAGTGAATCTGAGATATTTCCTAAATTTAATTAGTATTTTTCTCAACTTATACTCCATTTGGGATTTTGATACTTTTGTCCATCTTAACCCCACAGTGGTAAAGACTGCAGCCTAGACTCAGCTGTCAGATGTGTCTGTGTAAATCCTACCTCATGCCAGTCTTGAATTCCTCTGCTTGCAGTGCTCAGTAACTCTGTGCTAAGACAACACTGCCCAGACATTAACTTCCACCTAACAATGGAAGCAATTTAATTTTCTCTTTGTCAATTTGCAATAGATGCTGAAACAGGAGCTTTGCCTGAAGAGCAACCACTTAATTTGATGAGACAAAATAGTGGAAATGCACCAGTGCAGGCCCAAACTTGCCATATAGTCTGTCTGCTACAGCATTCCTAAGAATGCTGAGGTTTCAAAGCAAAATTATCTCCATAGGTCAGCAAGGAATCTACTTTTTGTGGCTACGCATCCTAAAGTCCACAAAGATCAAAAGTGTTTATTTGCCACAATTTGCTTATGACAGGGTTCTGCAATCACAGTGAGAAATGGGACCTACCAAGTACACACTCTCAGTTTCATTCCATCACTCATTTTACCACAAGCCTTTTTCATATGATAAAATTAACACGTGAATAGTTTCCCTATCACTTACAAAAAAACTAAAAAACTATAACTAAAACAAACAAGCAGAATTTGTGCTTGAGCTGAAGATGAATTGTGATCAGCCCTTGCCTTTCCCCCTTATTTCCAAGTCCACTGTGAGCATTAATTAAGGCCCTGTGAGGTAGTTAAGTATTTATTTGGTCAGGTTCTCCAAGGCATGGAGCATCCACAAACTCCTGAGTCAATAGGAACCACCCTAGAGCTGTACTCCATTGGGAATGGCCATTCTGAGGCATACACATGACAGGCACACCACCCAAATTTGCTCCCAAGATAACTGGAGACCTTCTGGCCATTCAGTTCCTCCAATCACTACCCACATCTTCCTTGACTCGTGCCATCATCTCCTGTAGTGAGACCTGACCTTCTGTGTGCAACTCAGGTGAAACGTTCCCCCTCCTAAGGCAATGTAGGATTACTCCTGGCTCCAGTGGGACAAGTTTACTTACTGAGAGTAGCCACTGGGATGACTCCTACTGAAGGAAAAAAATGATATGGAGCCACACACGTAAGATTTGGTTATAGCTATTATTTTCAGAAAGGTGAAATTCAGTTGCATGGTGTGGCTATGTCCTTTTTACTCTTCTAGCTAGCATCAGTTTCTTCTGAGATCTTTTTAGATTATATAAGCCAATGTAAAACCTTACACTTGTTAAAAAGAATAATGAGGCCATCAAACTGCCATCTGTCTTTCCCTTGGGGCAAAAGTTAATTTTGTGGTTATTTTAATGATGAAGCAACATTATGATCTTTCAGTGCAAAATATTAAAACTCACAGTTAAGAACAGACACATTCCATCCTGATCCATGGAGCTGCTGTCAAGTGTGAAGTGAACAATGCACTGGGAACAAGGCTCATTAATAGACTATTAATTCACTCCCTAAAATAATCATTTCTTTTGCCATTAGCAAAAATTTCTCTTTTCCCTTGACAGTTCAGCTAGTTTTTGCAAATGGGAAGCCTTTAAAGGATTTATCTGTTTTATATAAGCTCTATTGCTTTTATATTGCAACATTCGAACAACAACAAGCAATAATTATGCTCTTGGGCAGAGGGTGGCTTCAGCTGTTGGTTAATTTTGAACTTTTTTGACATTTTAATGTACAGTCTGGTACACTGAACTACATCTGTGTCACTATAAATGGAATTCTCATTGTCTCATAATTAATTTTGGTCTGATGATCCTTAAAATATAATGGCAGCAGCATCACCACCCCAAAATGCCTCCTACCACAATTTTCTTAGCTATGGTAGTGAAAAGTAAGAAAAGAGAACATGCAAAGTGCCTTCAGAGAACAAAAAATAAACACATGGTTCAGTTTAAATATTTCTTTGATCACTGTTGCATTCAAAACAGGTCCAGTGTAAACATGCAGCACCAATACAGAAGAATTCTGAGAAGCAAATACTTACCTTGAAACAGTGGGATTAGGATTTGTTAGGATTGTTTTGGCAAAGTCTCAGGGCTGTTGACATTAAGTGTCACTGATAAAGGAAGCTAAAACTGGGAACCGCCAATTCTCTTTGCCATGGGAGAAACACCACGCGGCAAATGGTTGCAGAGTAATGAACGGCTGCTATTAAGTGGAGCAATCCCCCTGGCAGCTCGTTATGCTGGAAGGTTAAACAAATGTACTACTCCAATCCAGTTGCTTAACACAGCAGCACTGATAACACAGGCTGCACATGCTTCCCATTCCCAGTTTCAGAACAGAATCTGAAGGATTTCCTTTCCGCTTTCATGAGAAAAAAGAATCCAAATCTTCATTAACATTTTGTCTGAATAAACTGGAGCGGGCTTAAAGCGGAAGGAGGAAGAGATTGCATGGAGCAAGCAGCATCATGTTTTATTTATCTTTTTTTTTTTTTCAGGTCAAAGGAAAAAGGTTTTATAAAATTAACATTCTGGGAAATGTACCTAATTGCATTAAGCATGAATGTATTTGTGCTCTGTTCAATTCTGTAAAGTAAAAAAAAAACATACTCTACTACTTGAGAAATTTATAGTACCCCAGGCAATTATTTCCTTCATCACTAATTCCTCTAAAATTAATAGTAATTAAGGAGAAAAAACAGCAACAACAAACCCATTTTGGTCCCAAGCTCAGATCTGAAGTGCTAGAAAATTATTACTTTCAGTCACTAAGTAATCGCAACTCTGTGCAATACTACCATCAAATAAAATCTGTACTTTAACAAAAACTGTCCTCCAGTCCCCTTCCCTCAAATGTCATGTGTTTTTAAAGAAAAAAAAAGTTCCACCATGAACTGTCACCGTATTAGTCTTTCATGAAATGCTACCACAGCATATTCTTGGAATATATAAAAGAGAAACCTCTCAGAGCACTCTGAAGAGTACACCTCGGATAGCACAGAATATTTCCTAGGATTTCCCCATTTCAAGTACTTTATGGTGCTTGAGACAAACAGAGCTCTTGAATTAAGAAGCTGGATCCTGTTGTGAATCAAAAAGAATACAACAAGTATAATGCACTACACAACATTTCCATGTATTTACACTTTAATGACTAATCTTGGTCACCCTGCCTCAAAAATTATTTATCAAAACCACAATGTGTGGGGAAATGAAGGACCAAAGTACAGAATGGTTTTCATGAAAGACTAACTCTAGAGAGACAAGCAGTCACTTTTAAGCTTCATAAAGAAACTTTCAAGAATAAATTCAATGTATAGATATTATCATTGGGGTGAATACAGAGTGATTATACACACTGTTTTTCTTAACACAGAAACAAGAAGGCATCTGACTGATCTATCAGGCAAGAGACTTAAAGTAAGCAAACAGAAGAACTTCTCACACTATGCAAAACTCGGTGTAGAATGCTGAAGAGTATTCTACAGTAGTATTGAAATAGAATAGTGAATTAGACAAATCCACAGACAAGGGGTCTATAAAGAGCTCTAAACCACAATTGTCTGGGTACAACCTTCAGGTCAGAAAGTCCCTGAAGTGCTGGCTTTCATAATCTGGGATAGTGGACCATCAGTTTATATTTGTCTTCTTCTGAGGCCTTTCCCTAAGGTTCTGCTGTTGATTACATTTATAAAGGATCAGATCAGCTGTCCAGTGATAACTTACTGCACAACATATTCAGAGTTTCACTTTAAGCAGAAGATGAACTAACAGAGCTGAGGGTCTTGCTCCAGACTACAGAAGAGGATGCACTTTACAGAGTGTGACGGGGAGAGATGTCCAGCTGGCCCTGCATCAACACAAACTTCTGTTGCAGTGGTGCCTGAGGCTCAAATTACAAATCTGCGCTCTAGATGTACAGTAATGATGACATTTCTTCAAATGCAGCTTATACTTCTCTTGCGCTTCACAGCCAGAAATGACAATGAGGTACGTGCAAACAAAATTGAAATTGTATTCCTGTTATTAATCCTGAAAACACAATTAGGCCCAAAATATCTTATTCTTGCCTTTATTCCAGAACAGGTGACCTCTCTAGTCCTGTGCACAAATTAATAACTTGGTATCATACTACAAAAAAGCAGAAGATCATATCATTGCAGAAGATTGGTAACCCTTTCCACAAAACCATTGTGCTCATTCCTTCACACTGCAATTTAGAAATTCCATAGCTTGTGTAAAATCTGTTTGCTAGAGTTTGGCATAATTCCCTGGAAATGCAGTGCAAATGGAAGTTATAACATATAATATTATATATGTTATAACACATATATATATATATGTGTATATATATATAAAACTTATTCAGAAATTTCTTCTCTGTCTTGCTGGCATCCTCACTGGAGATGTTTGGTATTTGACAGGCACAGACACAGAACAACTCCACAGTCCAAGCCAGAGGTCTTGGCTGTGTGAATGAAGTATTCTGATAGAGGAATATGAAGAGAAAACTATATCCATTTTCCACATCAGCAGAAGGCTTTCATTCCTAGTGTGGAATTCTTAAAAAGGTGCTAATCCAGCCCAGAATTATGCAAAGTGCAGCACTTGACTTATATGAAACAATTAATGCTCTAAGTATAGAAATATTTATTCTGCACAAAAAAATTAATTCACAGAAAAAGAATAGTTAGAGGAATATACAGGAAGACAGAAAGCCTGACAAAATATCACCATTAATGATCCAAAATGAGCAAAACAAATGAAAACTATCCCAAACCATTTAAATCATGAGCTATTAAGAGCATCTTCTCCAACATTGCTTTACAAATAAATATAATTCTGCATGCAGACAAGTAATCTAGTTATCAGTCAATAATATCAAATTTATACCATAAACATGTTTCAGAATTAATGCACAGAAGTTTAATTACATGGGCAACCAAGCCTTGCTCCACTCCGAAATAAAGGAAACCACTGAGCTAATGAAAGCTTTTATTTCTGTATTTTTTGGGCAGATCTTGGCAACCATTTCATTAAGCCGTTAATTCAGGTGCACACTGCTTTCTCTTTAATGAAAGAATCTCAGCAGACAGGGAATTATTTATTCCACTAGGAGTACTGGGCTCAGCTGAAGGCTGTCAGAGCTCAGCAGAAATGCAACAGGAGGCCAAGAAATCCAGCAGCAATTATTCTCCAAGAGACAGAACAGTTCTTCTTTAGGCAGCAGCTTTATCTAGCCATTTTCTCTACCATATTTTCCAAGTATGTCAGACTTGTCCACATTAATTTTCTCCATGTCTTCCAAGGTGATCTTGAGAGAGATGAAATATTCTGAACATAGGCCATGGGAGAGCACGTGGACAAACACCTATTCAGAAATTTTTGTCTGGAGATGGGTGTGAGGACATTTAATCAGGTGAATCAGATAAGAACAAACAGACACATTCCCTTGTTCTTAAACAGGAACCAATCTCCCATTTAAACTCAGATTCAATCCAATTATTAGCAAAAACACTGAGACATCTTTAAGAGCATTCATGGAGAATATATTTCAAGGGTTTACTTGCTGTGCTTTTTCCCTTCATCATTTCTAATTTGCCATTGCCAGAGCTGTCAGTATCTTCATCCCCGCAGGTGTCTTCATCCCAAACAGCTCATTAGAAGAGATGAATACAAGCAAAGATGGGGTTCTGTAGCTGTTGAACAATCTCACTTCTTGAAGAGGTACTGGGCACCTCAAAAAACCAGACACCCCCATGCTTTCTGCACAAGAGCATAGAATTCTTAGCACCATTGGAAACAAAATCCTTTTTTCTTTTACCTAGAAGTATCCTCCTTTTGCCACCTTCTCAGCTTCTACAGCAACAAATCAGCCCTTTCTCCTTTATTACTCCTGCTTTTCCCATCAGACCACACTAGTCTCTCTCTCCTGCACACCTGTTTCAATTTTCTTTCCTCTTTCTGACATTTCCTGCTTAAGCTGTTGTGTAACCTTCCATTACAGGTCCACAAAACAGATTTCTTTGTGACTTTCAAATCTGATTTGCACACTGCTTTCCAGGCCTGTATCTCTGCAGCTCCCAAAGGAATCTCCAGCAATTCTCTGGATGGGTATTGCATCATAAATATGTTGCATCAACAAAGTCACATACAGAAGAAGGAAAAATAACTTGCTTTTTCAGAAGAGAAAGACAAGTACTTCTGCAACACTCCACAGACAAATTCCAAAAAAAAAAAGAATACTATGAAAGTCTTCTACATGGTACACAAAATGAGTCATGCACTGAAGTAACAAACACATTTAAAAAAACAGAATATGATGTGCTGCTTGGAGTGTTTTAAACAAACTGTACAGAGAAGTAAAAGGCAACTTCTCTGCTTCACAAGCACAGATGATATCCAGAGCCAGCAAGGCTCTACTGATAACTGTTGGCCTTCCTGGTTGTGCTCATGCTACTTCTTCAATGGTCAGAGCCTCACAGTAAGTGGGAAGACCAAAGCCTGGCTCTATCTTATATTAAAATATTCTAGATATACAGAAATTGTGATTTTTCTGCTTATACAAGAACAATGTGAAGGAGAATAACAGAATTTAAGGCACCCTGCTTTCAGCAGTAATTAGTGGTGTTGTTTCTGGGGCAACTGTTTGGAAGACTGATGCTCAGGCCAAATTTCATCAGCACCCCTGACTCCTGCTTTATTTATTTTTTTTCAAATTAACCACTTCTAGTATGGTAGTTAGCAAGTCCTGGTAATTAAATCCCTAGACATAGGAGCCAGACAGAATTTAAGCAGTGAAGAAAGAGAGCTTCTATTTATTTGCCAGTTCATGTCTAGCAACCATGCCAGGCAGACCTAAACACTATCAGCCTCTAGAAGAGTTGCTCATCCTGGCACCTCACTGGGAGATGCACACAAGGTTAGGCTGTGACCATCTTCCAAAACTTTCAAGCCATTTAGCTGACATTTAGTACATTTCAATTTTTATTCCACCTCACTGCAAACTCCAATGCCACATTCAATATTATCAAATCATGTTTTCCCTTTAATTTTTTTTTTTAAAAAAAAGTTCTTTATACCTTTCTCACTGGATGTAAAGTTGATTGCTGCAGTGTGTGCTCAGGGGAGTGGATCCTGACATCATGGACTAATGATTCTTCATCTAATGATTGTGACAAGGAGGGACTGTCACTTTTGTCAAGAGGAATGACAGGCTTCTGGGCATCAGCCTCTGTGGAGCTCTCACAGACCTACAAATCACAAATGAGAATTTGTCTTTTCAAGATCTCAGAAAGAAAAATGATAACAAATTCACAACAACTCACAGCATACACATTATGACAAGCCCAAAAAGACTAAAACAGCAGAGATGTTCAAGGCAACCCTAAGCAGAGAGATAAATGGAGAAAGATTTCTCTCAAACATTATTGAAGTCCTCAAAAAAAAAAAAGGCTCAATAAAGCTGCTAAAATGCAAAGCTACACCGAAAGCCTGCAGTCTGCCCTTGCAAGTAATCTACTTTGAGAATTATTCAAGGTGGCAGTTCCACAGAATCTACACATTGGGAAGTCCAAGCCACCTTTCCACCATTTTAAATGAATTTCACTTTATTCTGCAGCTGATCTTCCTTGTAGCTTGGATGCTCACCACCAAGCACTGTCCCTCTTTCAAAAGAAGGATTCTTACTAACAGAGGAAAAGGGAAGAGATTAGTCCTGCTGACAAAGCTGTAGCACAACAGCATGTGTGGACAATGACAAGAATCTTAAATACATGGTGCAGCAGCAAGAGAATGGGAAATAACTCTCAGACCAAGAAATTGTCTTCGCTCCCTTCAATAATAATACAGAATCTAATGCTTTTTAAGGACTCAGGGCTTAATGTTTCCATTCCAGTAAAAAAGAGTTGAAATGCAGAGTGAAACTACTGCAGTCCTCCAGTCACCTATTTACAAAGGAGGAGTGATGGTGCTTTTATTTTCCCATGTTGCTGCTCACCCTTATCTATTGAGAGACTCAGCTCTTTGGGATCCAGGGTGGTTATGCAGCACTTTACAGAAAATTTTGGCCTAATCTGCATGAGGCATGAAGCCTCTCTGCTGCACACATAGACAAAACACCAACAGAGAGTTCAGAGAAATACGTGAACTCTCAAAGTTGTGTTCAATTTCTGAACTTACACTGACTAAATGCAGTAGGAAATTACTTTGAGACAACATACTTGTGCTTCATCTTGGACTTGTGGCTGTGCTGGGGTTGGCTGCCTCACTATGTAGTTGATCTGACCAACTATAGTCTGCTGAACATGCTGAGGTGGCTTGGCTTGGTTCAGCTGCAAGCTGGACTGTCCCTGGGCCTGCAGGAGAAGCTCCAGATCCTTTTTCATCTCCTCCAGCTCAAACTGGTGGTGCATGATGTCCAGGCTCTGCTGGATGACTTGCTTGTGGCTGCTCTCGTCGTGTCCTGGTGTGGGGGGTGTCAGTGGCAGCTGCTGCTGCTGCTGGGGTGGCTGCAGCACGTGGTGGGATTTCATCTTCTGGAGATGGCCCAGCTGCACTCCCACAGCTGATGTCTGCAGAGAAGCCTGTGGGTGGCTCGTGTGAACCTGCTGAGCCTCGTGGGAGACACCAGCACAGCCCTGCTGCAGCTGCTGGGCTGGGAAGGGCTTTCCCACCCTCCCGGACACGTTCTCCAGCTCCGAGCACTGCTCCAGCCCGGCCTGCAGGACCTTCCCAGGCTGGGGGGCAGCCCGTGGCTCTCTGTCCTGGTGCTGCAGGCTGTACTGCAGAGGGAAGTGCTGCTGCTGAAGGGCAGGAGGCTGGTGGAAGCTCTTGTGGTGGTTCATGTCCTGGTAGGAAGGCTGTGCTTTGCTGAGGCAGTGGGAGCAGCACAGGGGTGCAGAACACTGCATGGCAGGTGGGAACTGCTGGGGCTGGCTGCTCTCCAGCTGGGAGGCTGGGGAGTGGTGCCCATGGTACAGAGAGGGCTGTAACCCCTGGATATTTCCACAGAGTAGCACGTCAGGGTGAGAAATGTGTCCTCCTTCCACTGTGAAAACCCCTGGAGAAAAAAAAATCAAATTTACTCCCCGCTATGGGCTTGAAAAATTTATACAATAAAAGTTGTACACAAGGAAATGGCCATCATTCACATTTCAAATATAAAGATATTCAAATATCCTATCCAAACAGTCTGCCAACATATGTTCAAGACAAATTTTCCAATATTTATCTAGTTATTCCAATTCACACCAAGGTCCCACTGATATCAGAGGAACTCATGGAATTACCCAGCAAACACTTTGAAAAATTGACCTTATTTTATCTTAACTGATGGATATGGCTTGCCCTTTCATTTTTTACTGAAGTATGAGCTTATCTTCTCATCCATAAGCACAGGTACAAAAGACAGCTTCCAGGGTGCAAGTGACAAAAATAAAAAAGATTAATGTTATGTAGGTGAGACTCACAAGGGCTGGAAATAGAAGTGACCTATGAAATTATCTAAGTGATCTTGTCCATGTTTGTCATCAAGAGAGTACTCTTGATGACTCTTGCAATACTTTTCATAGTGTTTTACCCCTATTAGTTTTAATACCTTTAAATAGGAAGAAAACTGATCTTTTAGATCATTGTTTAGCCCACTGAGCTGAATTTACAGTAATTTACAGAATTTACAGTTCTCATTGCAGCTGGGAAATCTGTAGCTGCTGGGAAACAAAGTCACTGTATGGACATCAGTTATATAGGTAATATTAGTATTAGGTAATATTATTACTAGTATTATTATAATAATTCCATTATTATTGTAATAATTATAATTATTACAGTAATTATAAGTAATTATTCTACAGCCAGTGTATTAAAGTGTCTTTGTGCCCATCAATTGCAAGTGTCTCAACACTGCTCATCTCATTGGACCACTAAGAGAGTGAAAGCACCAGACATCTCAGTGGTCTTCTAGTGAATGGCTATAAATGGGGAGAACAACAGGAAAGTTCAGCCACACTCATCTTTCTCCAGAACCTAGCAAGAGTTTCAAAACAACTGCAGGTCAAAACAAAAAGGGAGAGGCCTTCAGGGCTGTATTGCCCTGTATATTGTATATTGTATATATACAATACTGTATTGTCCACATCTGTCTAGCCTAGCTTTGGGCATTTGCCTGTTCCAGTTCTCTTACCCAAGCTGGAGAGCTGCTTGGTCCAGTAGGAGGGATCCCAAGTGAACCTGATCCTCAGAGGAGGGCCCGTGTCCGTGTTACAGCTTGTCTCCAGCAAGCGCTGGATCTGAAACACAATCTGGTGACACATTCAAGGACAATGATTTTATTCGCAGTTCCAAGATCCTGAAAAATGCTTCATTTCAGCAACATCAAATCCTTAAAACAGTTCTCACAATTACTGCACGACAAGCATTGCTCTTACCAGCTCCTTACTGAAGAGAAATGGGATGGTTTTTTTGCTACACACGGCCCAGCTGATGAAGTTCTGGACGTGTTCTACCTGTCTGCCTAAAACCACAACACCTTGCAGTTGTTGCTCCAGCCTCTGCTTCCTCTCGCTGGTGATTTTCTGTTAATAACAGGAATCAGTAGAAGAGGGCTGTCATTCTTCAGAAACACATAATAGATGCAATCATTGGCACTAGTATTTGCAGCAGGGCTGTTCTTCCCACAGAAAGGAAAGTAAATCCAACTCAGAAGATAAGCCTGAATTCAGGAAGAGCAATGACTTCCCCAGGAGCAAACAATCTGCAACTTTCTGGCCTTGGTTTAACAGAATTAACATAACCCAAGAAAGCTGCAGAAGTTGGATGAAGTTTGCACCTGGGCTACTTTCTTGCCTGGAAATTCTGATCAGCAATTTTTCCCCTCAGCGCATTTCAAAATAAGATCTTACATCCTTCAACTGAACATCCGAAAAATGAAGAGTCAAAACTCGGACGTGCTGTTACAGAAATTAGACCAAATAATTATTTCTGAAACAGGGTGTTAATTGTGCTGCAAGTGGGCTCCTACAAATTAAACATTAAAATCAGAAGCTGGTTTGTTTTCTAACAAACACATTTTCTCTGTAAAGGCATTAGAAAATGTGGTTAACTCATGATAAGGAAACATTTTGCCACTTTGGCCCAAATCTTTGTCAACCACTGATTCCACATAAAAGCCTGCAGAAAAAAACCTAAATATTTGAAAATACTATATATTATTTATTATTAGATATTATTTAAAAATCTATAAAATGCTATGTTAATTAATATTAATTAAAATTAATTAATAATCTACTTAAATAAACATTCAATATATTTTATATATTTAAATCTATATAATTTTAAATACGGTATCCTAATTAATTATTATTAACACACACAAATATTAGTATTATAAATAGAATAATATTATGTTAGTATTATATATTAAAATATAAGGAATGGGACAATAGCTCCCACAGTCTATATTCTTTCCACCGGCACTGGGATTAAATTTAATTTAGTTTGATTTCCCAAGATATCAAAATAAACTAGCCTTACTTCCAGTTGTTCAAGGAGGATATTCATTCGTTTATCAATTTCATTCATCAGAACCATCTTGGCCATTTTTATTTGGTTTTCCACCTTTTTGTACAGATGTTTTACTTCAAGCAACCTATGGGTGAGAGGTACAAATCCCTGGATGAGCCAGCTGTGCCACGGATTCACTGCTCAGCAGTTGTTTGCTACAAGGGCTTGATCTGCCTGCAGACAGAACTGCAGTGAGGGTTCTCTCATTCCCCATCACCTCTCCCCCACTTCTCTGAACCCTGACCACCCCTCTCTGGATGTGACATGCTAATGCTGATGGAGTCTCTCAAACTTCATGCCAAGAGCAGCCTTTAGTTCTTTTTCAACAAATACCTACATAATATATCCAAAACTTCCAGGTTACACTGGATTATAAACAGTATAAATAGATTTGTGCTCTTGAAATGGTTTTATTAATGCAGAAGAGAGATCCAACAGCTACTAAATGTATAATCAGTAGCTGAAATCCAGTTCAAATAATTAAATATTTTCATTTTTATAGTCAGCTTGACTGAAATTGAACCTTATTTTGAGGTTCCTTGAAGAAATAAGTATCTTAAAAAATACCTTTATTTGTAATATTGTCAAATTCTAGTTCAGAAACAGATTATACAAAGAAATCTTAACTCTGAAGTCAGCTGTCACATGCCTTACAAAGAGTATGGAATCATGGATTACAACGCCATGACTTGTCAGTACCACTTAAACATGAATCTGATGTTTTTAATCTCCCCATTCTTTTCTACCCTCCAAGAGAAAAAACAATAGCAGCTGCATTTAATTCTGTTAACCTACATTTAGTGAAAATATTATTTTTACAGATCACCTACTTCCATGGAGTGGGAAAAAAAACAACCAGGGGGCGTAGAAATTACCTGTCTTCAATCTGTTTAGCTGAAACCTGAATCCCATTCTTTTTCTCCTCCACCTTAGTTATGACATTCTCCAGGATAATTCTCTGATTTTGCAGAGCTTCATCAAGATGCCTGAACCTGTGGAAGAAGGGGAAATTCTCACCCCGTGGTTTTCCATGCTCAGGAGTGAACAGGTGAGACCAGGGAGGGTTCCTGTGAGCCCCGTGTTAAACCACTCGTGAGTAAAACAACTGAACTGAGTTTGCTGTGGCTTTTAAATTCAGACCAGCCTGCAGCTTCAGCTGGAAAGCACAGCTGAGAAGTGCTAAATACTACTGAGCTGCTCAGCAGTGAGGTACCTGTTGTAAGTGCATATTATATTATATTATTGGCTTTTCGCAAATACTAACATGAATGTTGTACGTATAAGGTTAGAAAACTTTGTTGTATTAACACAGTTTTATTTCTGTTATTGATGAAACTTAAGAATAGTGGTATTACACATATATGTTAGGCTATAACATGATATTAAAGCACAAACTACTTTTGTTTATATAACCCAGAGACTGAAAAGATAGTCAGAGATCCCCCTGCATTCTTGGATTATCCTGTCCAGATGAACACAGCAGTCCTCCAAGGGAGGAATTTATTGCACCCATTATCAGAGGATGTAAAACCCAGTGGTGCCAAGAAGATTGATCTACTGGGAAGGAGGCAAGTTAAAAACTAAACAAAGGAACGTCAAAAACTTAAGAAGAATGTCTGAATATGTATGAGAATTTATGAATACGTAGTAGGGTTCTGTTTTTAAAGCAAAATTATTGTTACTAGGTGTGCTCTCTTGGCTGAATGCAGAGACACCCAGCCATATCTGTACACTTTATTTTTATCTCCTAATTGCCTTTCCATTAAACTTTTAAATTCTATATAAAAACATGTGAACCTGGTTTTTCCCATACCTGTGCTCCCTGTGCTCCGACAGGAGGCAGATGCGGCAGGTGAGGGTGTCACAGCTCTCACAAAACACCTTCAGCGGCTCTTGAGGGTGCGCCAGGCAAAACGAGGAAAACTCCCTTGCTTCATCCTCAGCTGCTGAGGAGTGCAAAGCAAGGGTGTCATTGACAAGGAGGAGAGCCCAGAAAAACAGTAGCCCAACTCAAAATTCCATGGAAAGTCTCAATAGCATTTTTTAAAGGCACGGAACCTGGAGCCAGCTGATGATTTGAGGCTGGGTTTGTTTGTATTTTTCCCTTGCACATCCTACAAATGGAGCTGCAAATAAGCCATCAAAACAAATCATACTGTCCTCTAAACTCTCATGAGTTTAAACTATCACGATTTGGAGCACCTGCCTCACAACTTTAAATGCCCTGGTCTGGTAAAACACTCGACAAGACTATTGTAAAACGTAGAATAGCAAATATATTAAATAAACTTGCAGTCACAGCAGAAGCAAGGGAATCCTTTGTTCTTAAAACACGAGCAGTTGTTTTCCAAGTTTGTGTTTGTTGCAATGCTGTTCATAAACTTCAGCAGCTGGTGCTGATATTAGGCCTTAAAATCTGTCCTTAAAAGGGTTTTCTAAAGAGTAGTGTGATAAAGAGTAAGAATGGACATGCAAACTGGAAACCTTATTTGTGTACAATCTATTCTTGCCTTTTTTCTGAATGGTAGAATTGCTTCAAAAAGAGGGAACACTGTCAACAAAGATGCCAGAGAAAGACAAAGATAAACCACGGCAAAGCCAACCCTCTACCACCAAAGAAAGGCTCAATTGCTTCCTTACAGTATTCCAACAAAGACATCATTCTTTACCAACATGTGAGAAACTAAACAAAATCATCATTCTTAGATGATAAAAACTTTAAATTATATAAAGGCATTAATAATTTATACATCATTATCTGCTCATATGAAATAAGAAGAAATATTTCCATTTTCCCACACCAAACTTCTTACTTATCTATACATTTTTTTAAAAAAACCAACCTGGGGCACAGACCATGCTCTCATGCTGTAGCAAAAGGAAGCCTTTTATAGATTCAGAAGTGATAACTATTGCAATAACACAGACCCACAGAGTACAGCAAGCTATACTGGCCCAGTCACTTCATTTGCACATTGTAAAATTCACAACAGAAAAACAGAAAGGCTAAGAAAATGTCATGGCTGACATGACAATGTCAGTGACAATGCAAACATGGAGAAAATCCATGCCACTCTCTAAAAAACACATGTCAAATTGCCCAGTTTTTAGATTGCTATCTACTCTAAATATTTCTGAGGAGCTTGATTTATTTCCTCCAGTTCAATTGACTTTTGTTCCACCTTCTTAACAATGTGCAAGAAGATAATTTGTGACAGATTATGTGAAGATTTTATGTAACAGCCTTACATAGCTTACATTTTTATGAATTATTTACTACAGTATCATGTTTTGGTCTTCAGGGAAGTTTATTGGTTTATTTCATTATTAAATCAAATGTTAATAGGTAGCATTAATAAAGGAAGAAATTAGATTGAGGTTTTTTTAACCCACTCCAATATTTTCTACTAGAAAGGATCAAACTGAATTCACCTTGACAGCAATTTTTTTTTCTGATTATATTGCAAATATGTGCTTTTGTATTAAAACCTGCAGCTGGCAAGCAAATAACGAGGTTGTACAAACAATATATATCCAACAAGGGTGTCAAAGATCATCCCCTACATGATCAGATCTTAAAAGGAAAAAAAAAAAAAGACCACAATAACTTTCTGAAGGTTTATGGACTGGAAAAGCCCTTCAAAGCATTCAGTATCTGCAGAGCAGACAAGCTGTTTTTCTATAAACCCAAATCAAGTTTCCCATATTAAATTCAAATTCATGAGATGTGGTCTTTAAGGTCAATGTTTCATGAAGTCCTATATAATGATTTCCTCCCTGCTTTTTCTCTCTCTGAAGGGTTGTTTAGCCTTTGGGTGATTGCAATCAACCCAGAGAATTCATTGGGGTTTTTTAATACCATGGAAGATTTAAGAGACAAGCAGATTTCAAATGCAAACCAAGAATAAAATCAGTATTATCTAATTGCAACACAGACCCACAGCCTCTGCCACTAGTAATCCCCTGACTCAATTGACACATCAGTGAGAACTGCCACTGAGCCATGGTATTCTTGACCTACTTTTTACTCAGCTCAGAGCAATACTTTTCAGTTTTGAAATAAGTTTAATACTTAGAAATCAGGTACTAAGCAAGGGCACAACCCTGATTTTTCTAGAAGAAAGTATCTAACCACAACTACCCATTTTAGATTCTTAAAAAGAACCTCCCTTAGTGACCAGATAAAGCTCAGCTGCCCTAAATTCTGATAATTCATCATTTGAGTCACCATTTCCTTCAGCCTATATTTTCTTTATCTCAGGTGGATCTCTTGAATAATTAACAGAAAGTTTTAAATCCCTGCTCCTCTGATCAGATGATGTCAACTTTGGAAAAGCAATCCCAGCTAACAGAGTTCTGCCTCCACTTGCATAATTTCCAATGACTCGGACTTTGCTTTTACAGGCACACACTCTGCCTTGAAAGAAAACAGAAGTATAGCAGAAAGGTTTCCCATGGGAGCCAGGCTCCTCTAACTCTGTCACTCAATAAATAGTTTATTAAAATTACTAGAAATGGGAAGGATTTAATGTGTTTGGTGAGGGTGTTTTGCTGCTTTATTTCATTTCTGACCCAAGGACTCTAGCACAGACCAAAGAAAGTCTGGTCCTTGCAAGGGAAATGCCAAAAGATAGAACAGTTTAAAATTGCAAGATCTCTTAAGAGAAGGTGGATGCTTTCAGAACACCCCATACAGACTGATGAAAGTGTGTGTTTATTTTCAGAAGAAAAATAACAAACAACAGTCTGAATTCTAGTATATCCTAGTATTTGCTTTCTTTGAACTATTCTGAAGGGATATCTATGTCCAAAATAGATACAACCTACATAAATAATAGTATAAATAAAAAAGCACAAATTACATTCCAAATAATTTCTATATTAACTAGTCTATATATGATCTACCATGCTCCTTGTTTGTGTTTTGTTCAGCATGTGGAATTTAGTACTAAACTAAAATTCTTTCTCATGTTTTTATGTGTCTGCAACTTTTTATTTATATAGCACACACACAGAGCTAAGCCACACATATAAATTCTTACCAGTATTTGTTAACAATATGTGCTGGGAATCTTAGCTAAAGTGACATGAAATTATAAAAAGTTGGAGCCTCAAAACCACAGTCCTTATCTTGTCATCAACCTGAGAAGAAAAACATATTGTCCATCCAATCAGGACATTTGAAGGGAGACTGGGGGACTTCAGTTTATATTAATCTCTAGAAAAGACCCAAAAAACATTTAAATGTAATTTGTGCTTTTTTATTGTAACCATTCTTAAGGACTTCTTTTGTTTACAATCTAATAGGCAATGGCATATTTTGTCTCAAAAGCCTCAAACTTTGTTTGATATGACCACCTAGTATTTAAAAACTCCATCTATGGCAAGTCTAGACTTTCACAAGAAAAATCCTAAAGGAAAACAAAATAAAAAGAATAATCAGTGGGCTATTTTTACTCCTTTTTCTGTCCCTCATCTTCCTTATGAAGAAGGATAAGCGTGCAGCATAAATTCTTATTTTTAGTTAAAAATTGCTCTTGTAAGTTTAGGTTAGCATACTCTGCAGCAGATTTCTGACACACAGGTAAAGAAAAGAATGAACATCCTGTAGTGATCACAGCCTTTTGCTGTCTGACTCCCTCACACACCTTGTCCATATGCACAGGAATTGCTTTGTCACGGTTTCCTCAATAAAATTACCCAAATTGGGACAGAAATACTGAAAGGGCAAGGCCTGTTGATGTTGTAGGCCTCCTAACCCTGTCCCATCACTCCATGGATTGGAAAGGCACATGGAGAAGATCCTATCCATGGAACACAAATATCCAAACTCTTTTTTCCAATACCATGAAACACTGACTGTGGCAATGGCCCTGAAGTTGGGGAAAAGTCACATAATCTCTTGCTGACATGTACAAATCCTTCTGAGCCTGGTGTCTGTGGCACAGAGCCTGCAACTGCTCCTTTTGCACCTGAATAAGTGATATGAGAAGAAAGAGAAGAAAGAAAATTCCAGTGCGTCCCCAGTACCTGCGCAGGCTTTCAGGGATACAGACAGGAAGCGATCTCCAGGTTCCTTGCCATGTCTGTGCTCCTCTGTACAAGAACTGCACAACCACTTATTGCATCTTATACAGAGACTGTGAGCAGGTCTCTTCTCTTTGCACATGGAGCAGCTCTAAGAACAAGAAGCACAATTACACACATAACAAATCAGCAGTACAAACTGTTGTCTTTAACAGACTGATTCAGATTGGTGAGCTTAATATTTTTTTTGTCCTCAGACTAAAGCAATTCAAGTTGTTTTAAGACTCTGGTTGTAATTGTGTAACATTCAGAAAAACACATAAAACATCCTCATGGTGAGACAATCTAGAAAACAACCTAGAGACGCCCCCATACTATTAATGAAAAACTTCATTCCTATCCTCTGATATGAAGAAAGGACCAGAAATGAACTCAGTTTATATCCTGATATCACATGTGGTGAACTGGAAACACAAAGCACAGGAACATGAGGAGACCTGGAAACCTTAATTAAGTACTCTCTCTATTGCCTCAGCAGTTTAGGGAATGCCCTTTGCTCTACAGGCCATGCTGCCTGGACATGTCACTAAGGGGGAAATGAACAAAGCAGCACAGAAATGAGGTGGGGAATTCGATATTTGGTGTCCAGAATGAACTCAAGAGTCAAGGCAGCTACAATGATAACTCTTTTAAAAAGGATTTGCTCTAGGAATAAAACACCTTCTTTCAAAATCCCCAATATTCATGTATTTGGCTCATCACAAACACTAAAATGTTACCACATTTTACCACAGTAAATAGGTACTAATGGGCAGAGTGAGCACGGAGAAGTAAAGTTACCATCATCAAAGCAGAAAGGCTTTACCACCACTTTATTAAACTTACAATATATCTACTGTAGCTATGCACACACATGTATCTCCTCAATATTGCTTCTCTCAGGGCTACTCAAGCAAATAGGAATAGATGGCAAAATCACTTCCTGCACTGTCCTTTCTGCTGGACATCAGCTTATCTTCAATTCAGCTGTGAACTGAAATAGTTACATCCCAACTCTTCGATGGGACACACAAAGAGAAGGATACAGCAGCCTGTGCTCAGCTCATAACCCCTGATGGAAGTCCTGGTGAGCGTAATGGAAGGATTTCTCCTCATGGTGCCTCAGGAAATAGAAAGTCTGAAGGAATAACTATTGCAGTTCTTGGCTGGTTGCCTCAGTTTTAAATCACAGCTTTAACATTAAGTGGAACATTCATATCCACCTAAATTCTGAGACATGTGTCAAGCTCTGACTCACTTCAGCACAAGAAGAAAAATTTTTGTTCTGCTAAAATTAATTTAAATTTCATCGTTTCCTTCGGCAGGTCTGGCATTTCACAACAGGTCTCTTATCAAGCCATTACTCAAGAGTTTCTAAATATTCATTCTCAGATTGAGCAATTCTTGACAATAAGACAACAAAGCAAAGTTTTAAATGTGTTTAATTATCTAGAGAGGGAATTGTTTGTGCAAGTCAATATGCTATTTTAGTCATCTGCATAGCAACATTTTCCAAGAGGTACATACAATAATTTAAACCAAAAAGCCTAATAAAACTTATAAAACCAAAATGCAAGAATATTTAATTTGGGGAACAAAGACTGTTGTATAGAAAGAAGTGACTGATCTAAAATGTCCCCACCTAGGTGCAGCTTAGGAAAAAGGTGAGGAATGCTCTGTCCTCTCTGCCATAACCCAACCTGCTTTAGCACAGGTTTACCTGTAACAGTTCAGCTGTCAGTCTGACTGGAATTTATATTGACGCTGTACTGGGTTAACATCACTTTTAAGTTGCAGAGTGTTCCCAGAGTTACATTATTTATGATGTGGAAATGGGCTTTTGGGCAAGAGATTCTGAATTGCATATTTTTGAGACTGCTGCTGCTGGCATGTAGCACATTCCATCATTCATGCTTCACTCTCTCACACACTGAGAGACACCTTGCTGCTTCCAAACTCTTTGCTACAAGCCTTGACAGACTCGTATTTGAACATGTAAGGAAAATTAGGATGATGGCAGCTCAGCCATGTCTCAGGTGGATGATCTGGTGCTTCTCCTTTTGATGTCACTGGTGGTGAAACTGTGGCTGTAATTTTGGGTGTGATGGTAGTGGTTAAAGACAGTAAGGAAGCAAAGCTATGTGATTAGACTTAAAAAGGAAGCCAAAAACTGAAGGTTCACAAGTTGCTCTAGGGTACTCCTATGCTCCAGTGAGAAATCTGCACTACTGAACTGCTCTTAGGACTCCTGAGGGATTACAGAAAAGAAAAACCTTTTAAGGATGGTTTGAAAAAATAATCTAGTGCTTTTGAAGACATTAGATATTCTCATTTGATTTCCTTTCTACATAAATTCTCATTAAAAAGTAAATGATGAAAGTCACAGTAATTAAGAAATCCCAGTATAATAAGTGCATTTTAAAAACTCAGCAGTATCTTGTGAATTTTCTTCCTCTCTTTGGAGAGTGCATGTGAATACACCTCTTCTTGTTTTAGACCAACTTATGTTGCACTCTACAAGCAATGTACACCTGAAGGTGTCAACACAGTTTGTTTGTCTTAATTATTTTTATTTCCCCAGAACACTCTGTGGATTAGGTTTCACACTATTTACTTTTTAAGAATACCCAGCTTTCTCTGTCCCTCCTCTCCACCCAAGCTAGTGGCAGCTACAAAGCTGTGAGAATAGTCCTGCTTGTTACTGGGTATTTAACAGAAGTTAAATCACCTATGTACAGTGCCAATTCAAGACTAAAGTAGTAATCCAATACCTTCCTTTGAATCCATTCCCCAGTGGGAAACTGCAATATGATGTGACTTTTTTAACCATTAAAAGAGGTAATCAGAAATTATAACTGCTCACATGACCTAATGGGTGATGTTGGTGTAACAATTTAGTCAAGAACCAGCTTCTGTGGCTAGCAGGTAGAGAGAGGGGATCCTCACTCCTCCTCAGCTCCAGAGAGGTCACATCCAGAGTATTCTCCTCAATTCTGGTCTCCATAACTCAAGAGAGACAAGGAGTCACTGGAGAGGGTCCAGCCGAGGCCACAAAGAGGATGAGGGGTCTGGGGCATCTCTCTAATGAGGAGAGGCTGGAGCTGGGCCTGGTTAGTTGAGAGAAAGCTGAGAGGGGATCTCATTAATGCTTATAAATATCTCAAAGGTGGGCTAAGAGGATGGTGCCAGACACTTTTCAGAGGTGCCCAGGGATGGGACAAGGAACAGTGGCCACAAACTGAAACATGAGAAGCTCTACCTCAAAATGAAGAGCTTTACACTGAGGGACATTCAAACCCACCTGAATGTGTTCCTGTGTCACTGCTCCTGTGACCCTGCCATGGTGGGGAGTTGGACTGGACAATCTCCAAAGATCCCTTCTAATCCTAACAGTTCTGTGATTGTTTAGTTTGAGTTGAGAGCAGAAGAGGACAAGGAGGAATCCAAGACATTCAGTACCTTCCTAATATGTTGATTATCACAGATACATTAGTATCAATATTTGTAATGGACTATCTAAAATACAGAGAGTAAAACTCATTCTTCAATTAAAGTTTTAAAATTACTATGAAGGGAGTATGTCTATCTCTGGCAATGAAGTAATTACAGCACTGCATAAGCAAACTATAAGAGAGTCTTTGTAGTTCAAAATGAGATTTTCTCTGTTTTCAGTGTTCATCTGGCAGGGTTTCAAAAAGCCACAGTTTAGTGGCTTTCACTTACCTTTGCCATAGCTGAATCACAAATGGGAAAGTCCTTGAGGAAGAAATTCTCAACTACATCCCTTGCAAAGCAGGTCTGTTTGCACACAGGGCAGGAAAGGATACCTGAATTTTTTTAAAAAAAAAGAAAAGAAAAGAAAACCACCACAAATAAAGCAATGCACACCAGCCATGCGAACCAGGAAATTATATAAACCACACTTCAGTGGCTTTTTTGTATCACATGGGCAGTTCCAGGAAACTAAGGCATTCTTCAAGCCCTAAGTGGCTAGACCTGGTTCAATATATAGAAAAGAATAACAAAGCAACAAAATTCCTAGAAAAACACCATATTTCAGTTGATTTATTTCTGTGTTTATTGATGATACCTGCATGTCTAAATTCTCATCTGGCTTGGAGATGTTTAAAACTGAGCTGCACTTTAAACTATACCCCTTTGTTACAGATCTACTTGTGCTTTCTGGGATTTTTCTGTGGTTCTGGACCAACTTTACTCCACCAGAGGTGTACCCAAGCATAAAACACACACTCCTTAATACCAGTTTTACAGTGCAAGATGCAATCCAAGTGAAGTGACAGGGGAATAACGTGCTGCTGGCAGAAACAGTAAGTCAGAAAACAGGCAAAGGAGAAAATAAAAGTTTCATAAGGAAAATTAGTAAATCTAGAGGTGGCAAAACACGATCTCCCCCAAAGCAAAGTGAGCAGCAGAACCTAGCTCCACTCTCATTAATTAACTGAGCACAGCTGAGGTGAATCTCAGTGTCTGCCTGGGCTGAGAACCAAGAGTTCAAGCACAGGTCCATAATCAAACACCTCCATTTTTGCACCTCTGATATTTCATTTCTTGACTTCTTGGGCTAGGAGCTCTATTATATTTGGCTAGAAGCTCCAGTGTGTTGGTTTGGGTTTTTTGTAGAAGGATACTGCATTTTTCTGGCCACATTCCTGCGAACTACTGTAGATGTAAAAAGAGTCCTTTAGAGAGGGTGCTGGTGTGTCAGTCTATTTCACCTTATCAAGGTGTATCATTTTTTTTTAATCCAAGTTTTTTCCATTCTGTTAAGAACAGAATTTCCATGCTATGCTCACCTTGCCAAGTCATCTATTTATGATAACTAACAACAATATTTTCTATGACTAACTGGTTTAAACTCACCTAAAGTAAGGTTTTAAAGCAAGATCAGTGACGACATTCTACTGTTCAATGGGCTTTTTTCCCTTCGCTCAAAATTATTTTTGCACATGGACAGTGGCCTGTAAGTTAATTAAACCTTAAGTTTTCTATTATTCTTCACATTACACCATTATCAGAGACTCTCCTGTTTTCCAGGTGCTTGGTATTACCTGTACCTTGGGATATGGCTCCTGCAGTCCCTGGCCAGGGGCAGAATGCTAATTCTGAATGTCTCCCAGTTTCAGAGCTGGGCTACTGTAAATTTAACAGCAGCATTTCATATTGACAAGACACACAGATCTCAAAACATTCCTACATTACCACTTCTGACAGCAGCACTACCCAGTCAGATGTCTGAACACATTCACTTCCACTCACAAATGTTTTGAAGAAACACAGTTCTGGTACATCTTCTTTTAAGAGTGTCCCTCACTAAGTACCTCTTCCATGAGCTTTAGATCTTTTTTAGCCCAAATCTAAAGCCAAAAGCATAACTGTTTTCTATTTTTCAAGGTTGCATTTAAAACAGAAATGTGATTTGGGGGCCCAAGTAGCAGACCATAATCTATCTAAACTACTTGTTGAACTGTGTGTTTTGTACAGCACAGTGTTGAGCACTCATGCAGACATGAGAAGGAACAGGCTGTGCCCACAGGTGACTGTGCTACTCAGCCACAAGTCACCCCAGGGGAAAGGGTAACAAGCAATTTCCAGCACTCTGCTCATCAGGCATGTAAACTGAGCCTTGTTTAAGGGTGTTTGCTGGCAGAAGTTACAAAGGTGCTAAAAAATTATCTGATAAAAATGCCCACGATGGCAGAAAGCTGAAGAAGCCTTTTTAACAGCTCCTCTATTTTGCATCCTCCCTATAAGGACCGCAGCTGAAAAAGTATCTGAATTACCTACAGTTTTTGTAGCTAATCACATTTTCCCATGTTACACCCTAGCACAACACAATTCTTTTATATTGGTGTCACTGAAACCTCTCCAAGCTTTCCCAAATTACCGTGTGAGACTTTGAGGTGTCTGCTAGCAGCTCTGTCCTCTGGAGACACGTAAAAGCAGGAGGAGGCGAGACAAGCTGTGTTACACTGACAGTGCCTCCTACTCCTTGTAAATGCTGCTCACTACAAGCACTGGTGAACTGCAGAGCTAATTCCTGGGAGCTGAAACACTCCTCAAGTTTCCCTGCCAGCCCTGTACAAAGTGGCACAGCTGGAACTGCAGCAGGAATGAAAAGATGGATACGTTCTGATTGATAAGCTAGGAAGCAAGATACCTACTCTGCAAGCAGCTTCTCAAATAAGTCTCACAGGACGTGCTCTAATTCTCAGTGCAGTCAAGAGGAAACCAGCTCCTGACTTCACAGAGCTGCCTTGAGCCCTTGGAGACCTGGAACCAGTTTCTTTCTCCCATAACAGCATTGCCAGCTCTTGATCTGGCTAACACGGAGAGAAAACCTGCACACTGAGGCTACATAATACCCTGCAAATGGACCAAAAGGGAATAGCCAACAGGTGACTTTCTGAAGTAAGAAGTCCATGACTCTCACAGTTACTCTCTTATTTACGTGCTGTGCAGGTGAGCACGCACATTTCTGGGAACAGCTGCTTACTGGGAAACAAAGGCATGGGGCTTTGTCCCAGCAAGGACAGCTTCTATTGACACACTACATAAGGTAAAAAAGGTTACTACTGAAGTTACTGTTTTATTATGTTCCAACACCATTCTGTTAGTGCAGAATGTTAAATCAAATTAAAACAATTGAATGATACTTCATGGAATGCTTATAGCCTCAGGCACCTTCACATGAGCTTTAAATTCTGCTAATTTGTTACAAACCACTGAAGTATAGCATACAACATAATTAGAATGCATTTAGTTTGATAATGAGCAAGACAACTTTTACAGTGTTTTTAAATTATAAAAAAAGAAAAACTTTGACAATTTTCACACTTTGAAAGCGTAAATCATGCATGGATTTCAGTTCTGCACAAAAGCCTCCCCTGTATATGTGCTGAGAAATGCAATCAACAGTTTGAAGGTAAATGACATTACTGCTGATTAATATTACCCTTAGTATTATTATCACCTAAAAGTGATGCCTTGGATGGCACAGCACAATTTTCTCCCAGGTTTTAGATCCATGTTATGCTGCTAAAATCAGTGTTGTTCCAGAGAAACACAGGGAGCAAGTTGCACAGGTCAGAGCTTTGTTTTAGACCACCAAGTACAGCTTTGACTGAGTAAATGACAGAGTGTGTCTTAAATATCCAAGTAATTGTAAATTATAATGATTTCGTATCTAAAACTCCCTTGAGATGAACAGAAGGCATGCAGAGCCATCAGCTTAATTTTAAAAAGTTTTGAATTTTTTTTAAAAGAGCAATTAAGAGGAAAAATAATGGGGACACCACAGCAATAGAGTATCAAAAGTCATTTCCTACTCACAGGTGGGCTAATCAGAAACACCTAATACTGAATCCTATATCTAAAATTTTAATAGAAGCACAGGAGACAAATTTGCATCTTGCTAAAAGAGGGACTCCCTGAGCATGGTGGCTTTGGAGATCACACTTGTTCTGCTAATTGGGTTTATTTGATACCTTTTCCACTTAATAAAAGCATCTGTGCTCCATGGAAATGCCCCATCTTTTTCAATATGAATTCCCCAAAGAATCAAAAGTTAGCTTGGCATAATAAATACACTACAAAATGGACTGTGGAGCAATTAACCTGAAATTAAGCAAATGATTACATACACATTTACAAACAGCCACAGGCAGCATCACACTGTGCTCGTGCTCAGACTGCAAACCATCAGTAAGGCACATTTTCCTGGAAAGCCCTTACCTGTGCTCTGGATAAAGAGCCAGAGAGCTGCCCACAGAGTCTGTTTTGGGGGAGAGGTGGGTGGTAAGAACTGCACACACACGAATTCCCTGGGAGCAGGCAGTGCTGTGCTGCAGACTGAGGTCACTGCACCTCTCCCTGGGGCTGCTCCCTCTTCTTTGGCCAGGAATTCTGGCTAATCAGCAGGAAGGAAAGGTGTATTGAGTCACTACAAGGTGCAGAGGATTTTTCCTCTTGCCTCCTTCCTTGCCCTTGCCTCTAGGATTCATTCAGGCCTCTGAAAACTTGCCTTGGTCATATTTTTCCCGAATAAAAATCCCACAGTCAAACTGAGCAGCAGTGTCCTACTTCCTTTCTTGCCTGGGTCTTCAGTCAGTCCTCAAACTGGAGCAGAAGGAAAGAGAGGAGCTTTTCCAAATCCAGCTAGCAGCAGGTCCTACAATGCCATGCATTTCCACAGTACTTTTTGCAGACCATAACCTAAATATTTTTCTTGCCTTCCTACCTTACCACTGCCTCCAAACAACACTGTTAATCTGTTTTAAGAACCTGCACTTTGCAGACAGCTCATTTAAATATATCATTATTAGAGCACTGTAGGTGAAGGGAAGAGTAGTCAAAAGCCCTGGAGACTCACTGTTTGTACGTATGAGAATGATGCAATTTCTGGATCTAAACAGCAATTCAACGAGGAATTACAGGACTCAAGCAACAGTTTATGTATTAGGAGAACAGGTGCAATCATGATACCTAAAGGGAGGCCAGTATTGATATCAAAACTCCTAGAAGTAGAAAAAAGCTGACAGAGATGTTGACACATTCTATTTTTGCGTGGAAATTAAATTGGCAGGAAGGAGGTAGGAACATTTGCATAAATTATCTTTTAGAAGTTCAGTGCCTCCTGCTGTTTAGGACTTGAAGTTGTTATTTATGACATCCCATTTCACTGCTAAGATGACCATCAATTTAAAAAGGCTAGCAAGGATCCTAATGCTGGATTTAAGCCCGGTTTCATGGTGACACAGAACTAAGCCCTACTTCAGAATTATATGCAGGTTAAACCATATATAAAATA